ATAGTTCTAAATTCGACAAATAGGATCTAGTTCGTTCTGCATCCCTTTTTCTATAGTTCCGAACCATTTCTAAATTCGTCACTTTAGATATAGATTTGTAGTGAAAATAACTGAAAAAATTAGTTTCTTAAAAGTACCACTTTTCGCCGATTTTGGACTGGGGGGGATCTAGTTCCTATCGGACTAGTTCCTTTTTGGCAATAAAGACCTAGTACGGAACTAGAAATTTGATTCACCAGTCCACGGTTTCCCTGCAGGGAACATGTACAAGACACATATACAAAAACGGCACTCAAGTACACAATACATTGACAAAAACAGTACTAGACTGTCTCGCTTTGATTTCGGAATGCTTACACATTGAGATGTTAGACTGCTTTTACACAGTTCAAGTATTGAATTCAATTCTGCTCGCATGTGGAAGAGAGGGGGTGAGAAGAAAAGGGACGAGTACACATGCGTCTGTACCGTCAAGTCGTTTCAACTTTCTTGCTTTGCTTTTGGCATTTTCGTTGCTTCCCATTTAAAGAACCAAAAACTTGAATTCAACAGAATTGAAACGTGTAAAAGCAAATAGAAAACACAAAAGAGAATGAGCAAGAATTGCTTTCAAGTACTTGAATCATGTAAATCGGGTGATATGATTATAGTATTATGGGGTGCACGCTACAATAATGCTTTGTTGTGCCGGAACAGCGTTTCTCCGAATTACACTACTTCTTTCTTATATTTTTATATGAAGATGAAATTGAATGTTTAGAAAATAAGCCGCAAAGTGCGGTTTCTAATTGTATTAGCCCTGGTAAAGCATAGTCCACCTTGCGGTGGATTTCGTTAAATAGATTTGCAAATGGTATAAATAGGGGTATTCTCTGAGTCTTACAAAGCCCTTGCACAGCGCACGGTTTGCACGATTTGCAAAGCAATCTGTAAAAATTTCCTATACTGGTGTGGAGTCTAAAAAAATTTTTCTCATTTGCCTTTTAACTTTAAGTTTAACACTTAAAACAGAACTGGGTGTCGAAATCATTATTATTGCCCGGAAGGACATTCTCTGACATCTTCTTTTTAAAAATAATTTCATTCATATGCTTGCCCACGACTTAGGTGTAGATGGTCCATTCGCAAGGTCCAGTTTTCAATTACTCCTTCCAGCATTGCGAGGATTACACGATTAATGTTGGCTTCCAAGTTTTGAATCATCGACCAGGATACTCAGCTACAGTAAAAGGTATGTAAACGTGGTTTGAAATCCTCAGTTTGAATCACATTCATTTAGGCTGCATTTCTTTATTCGTTCTGAACGTTTGGAATAAACTTTTTTGTTTACTTACTCTTTAGAACGTTCCTGATGATNACACGGTTTGCACGATTTGCAAAGCAATCTGTAAAAATTTCCTATACTGGTGTGGAGTCTAAAAAAATGTTTCTCATTTGCCTTTTAACTTTAAGTTTAACACTTAAAACAGAACTGGGTGTCGAAATCATTATTATTGCCCGGAAGGACATTCTCTGACATCTTCTTTTTAAAAATAATTTCATTCATATGCTTGCCCACGACTTAGGTGTAGATGGTCCATTCGCAAGGTCCAGTTTTCAATTACTCCTTCCAGCATTGCGAGGATTACACGATTAATGTTGGCTTCCAAGTTTTGAATCATCGACCAGGATACTCAGCTACAGTAAAAGGTATGTAAACGTGGTTTGAAATCCTCAGTTTGAATCACATTCATTTAGGCTGCATTTCTTTATTCGTTCTGAACGTTTGGAATAAACTTTTTTGTTTACTTACTCTTTAGAACGTTCCTGATGATATGTTAACGTATATTTCAAACGCATTCTGTTTATTCCGGCTGTGAAATTGGATTATCCGGAATGTATAAAGAAACGCAGCCTTGAAAGTAATTTAAAATTGCTACCGAAAAGACAATTTTTGAAGAAAAAAAAAATCATGTTTTTCCTCTGTCAACTTTAGAACTGGCTCGGAGCTATTAAAACAGGGATGCAGAGCCATCTAGATTATGGACTGGTTCCGAACTATCGAAACAGCGATGCGACGGGTAGTTATTGACACTTCGTAGGACATCGCAATGCTAAATTCGCCAGTTTATAGCATTCAAAAGTGAATTAACGCGCACTAGTTATGGTTCTAAAAGCTTTAGTACCGAATCAGTTCGGCACCACTGCGTTTCCACAGGGATTATTAAATGTGTGAATGCAAAATATATACGTATACAGATATATATGTAAATACATACATACCTACATACATATCTTTTTGTGAGGTGCTTAGTGCAAAAAGCTTCTAGACTTTTATTTTCAAGTGCTTTTTTTTACATTCACTACATTTTTGTTGAAATAAGTTATCTGCTTTGTAATCGCTGATAAAAGCCGAAAAAACTCACCATATTTTACTGAAGTAGCAGCAATATGGTGAGTTTAGTTTCCTGTTCTACACAAAGGCGCGCTATAACAAAAGAGATTGGGCGATTTTTAGCGAAGGAAATATATTTTGAACTCCAAATAAACGACCGTGTATTGTACATACATACCCAGTGGGAAAATGGGAATGCATAATTTTTTTCTACCAAGAAAAGATTAGCAATTACGGTTGAACGAAAAGATGCATCGCAACGTAAGTGAGCGGATGATGTGTAGTTTTGGAGACACAAACAAAACAAAAAGTTTGAAAACTAACTGAAGTATGTTTTATTCACGTTATCTGAACAGCTGCTGTACCGAATGGATGTGTGAAACGGAAAACGTGTCAGCGGACACGATCAAACCGCGCTCTAAATTTCAGCAATAGAAAAACAATTACTAAATAAGGTCGCAAGTTAATACTTACAACAATCTATTAACAAAAAATAAGATTTTTATACCTTTTTGGAAATTTAACGTGTTTTCGGTAACCGCACTTGGTGCAATTATTACATGTTTGCAATCGGGGAAAAAAACCCTAACGGAGTTTTCGGAAGCCACAAAGACGGTGATCAGAATTTCTAAAGGCTGCAAATTTGTTGGACTACATGTGCTACAAGGGTGGTGGAAACGCTATGGCACAGAGTGTAAAATCTTGCAACTCCTTCTTCTTCTTCTCTGCTGGCGTTGTAACCGCCTAAGCAATTTTGGTCGAGTCCCAAACATTACACCATTTTTTTCACTTCTGTGCCAACCCGCGCCAATTGCAAATGCCAAGTGAAGCCAAGTCCTTCTCCACTTGGTCCTTTGTTACCAGCATTACGACCCGCCTTGAATGCTTTAAGAGCAGAAGCGTTTCTGTCCATTCGAGCGACATGACCTAGCTAGCGTAACCGATGGATTTTAATTCGCCCGCACTATGTGTGTATTGTTGTAAAGCTCATACAGCTCATCGTTACATCGTCTGTGGTATTTGCCATCGCCAATGTGTAAAGGCATATGAACCTTTCGCAGAATCTTTCACTCGGCATGATGAGTGACTTATAGAATGGGTTTTCGTACGACCAGAGAGGACTCTACTTCTCAATTGCCTACTCAGTCCAAAGTAGCACTTGATTGCACGAGTGATTCTGGTTCCCAAATAAACGACAACAACGACATAAGTGCCAAGACGCGTATTCTCTGACTGTTTGTGTGATGACAGGAGATAATGCGTTTTGTCCTCGTTCATCACCAGACCCATTCGCTTTGCTTCTCTTTCTAATCCCGAGAAGGCAGAGCAGACGTAGCCCATGTTTTTACCAATAATGTCGATATGGTCGGCATACGCCAGCAATTGCGCGCTCTTTTAGAGTATTGTGCCTGGGCGGTTTAGTTCTGCGGCTCTTATTATCTTCTCCAACATCAGGTTAAAGAAATGGCACAAAAGGAAGTCACCTTGTCTGAAATCTCGTTTGGTAGCAAACGGCTCGGAGAGGTCCTTGCCAATTCTGATATTGTAAAACGTCATTTTACACAGTCGTATTTTCGCGCGGATTTACAAATACAGACATTATGGCATAAAGACAACTCCTATTCGTGCTACCGAAAGCGGCTTCGAAATCAATAAATGTGTGGCGTGTGTTCATCCTATTCTCGCGGATCTTTTCCAAGATTTGGCGTATTGTGAATACCTGGCCAATGGTGGATTTGCTAGGTTTAAAGCCACGCTGATAAGGCCCTTGGCGGTGCGCTTTAGCCGGTCACACAATACTCTCGAAAACACCTTGTAACCAAAGGTCAGGAGGTTGATCGCGCGGCATTTGGCGCGTATGGGGGGGGTCGCCTCTCTTGTGGATTGGGCAGAGCACACTTCATGCTTCATGTCAGCTCCTCGCCACCGTACTTGATTAGCTCGCGTGTCAGGAAGTCCGGTACTGCAGCTTTGTGGTTTTTCAGCCGAATAGGCACAAACGTCATTTCTCAGAAACAAAATTATGAGTTTAATCTGTCGTGTATTATTTATATGGAATAAAATTAAAACTGTTTGCAATACACTCGTAACCAGTTTCATTTAGGCAAGTCTTGGCATAAGTTGTAAAAAGCTGCAGTTTTGTTATTTATATAGAGAAAAATAAAGTGTAAAAATGGCGCCGAAAACCGCTGAGTAGCTTAAACTCATTTTAGTAAAAACTTCGTTTAAGTAAACGGAATTTCAACTAAGTTTAAACCAGCCCTAAATGTAGCGCCCAACTTAGCCGACTTTGCAGAATCATAAATCCGTTTATATTTGTGTGCTAGCTTTTCCTTTTAAAATGCTCTCTGGCAAATTTTATCTCTCCACTCTAATACCGGCTGTGTTAGGAGCAAACTCACCAGACCAGTTCGTGTCGCTGGCAACGCAGTAAACATGCAAACATCAACTCAAACATTGCGAAATCTCTGTTTGTATGCCTAAACTTATTGCTAACACATGTATGTATGTACGTAAATATATTTATTTTGGTGTCAAGATAACTTAAGTAGGTACATATTTGCTTTTGTCTTTGCAAGCATTTCCATACTTCCCTCACGAAACACCAAAGATTAAAAGTACTTACATAAAAAGGCAGAGTATCAGCGCCCAAAGATGGGTCGACGAGCTGGGCTGATAGATGACTGTGGTGCGCACCACCGCATGACACGAGGGACAAGTGACCGTTGTCGGTTCGTTGGAGACAGGCGTAAATCTGGGAGCTGTGGTGTGAATGATGACTGTGGGACCGGGTGCTGGCGCCGGCGTGCCCTGCATATGAACGTGCTGTGGTGGTGGCTGGTAATAGCCCGGTACGGCCTGTGAATATGGTGGCGGCGGTTGTTGATAGGACATGCTGCTCAAATGTTGGAAGAACTAACTACAAGTCTTTATTTTCTGTATCACTTTGCACTTTGCACCCAGAATGCAAACTTAGAAATTTCGTACTTGAATTAGAATGCTTATAAGCAACTGGCAAGAAACACGATTTGTTGTGTTCGTGGCGCGTCAAAAACTGGAGCTAAACTGAAAATGCAATGCTGCGGCTACTTTTTTATTCGCCTGACTCATTCATTTCAGCTGCTCGTCGTCTGTGGTGGATTTGCTTATGCTCCATCACTTATTGCATTGAGATGAGAGCGTCTATACATATGTATGTATGTATATAGTAAATATCTACTATGTACATACATACATATGTACTTGGCAAAGGTGGGTTTGTATGTTTGGGTAGTCCAAAATGCAAGTGAAAAAGTGAAGTCGGAATTTTTATGCTCTCATCCCCTAGGATGAAAATCAAATATATTTAGAGGTCTCTCAAAGCGCTCAAAGTTTTCCGTTTATTTTATATGAGAAAAAACCACTTTTCGTAGAAGTGGTATATAATTCTTGAAAATCATTATTTTCGAACGGAAAACTCTATTTCTCTTCAGGAGATTCCCAGTAATAATACCCAATTATTTATTTAACCATTTTATCATAGTAGATAAATATATTTTTAAGGTCCACTAAAATACCCAGAATATGCAATGGGGGGATAAATAAAAAATTGGTACTGGAAGTCTCCTAAGTATTGATTTTAAAGAATTAAAGAAGAAAAGTTGCCTTTTCCCATATAAAATACATGGAAAACTTTGGGCACTTTGAGCGACCTCTAAATATTTTTTTTTTACCAAACCAAAAAAATAGTGCTAGGGGTTGAGGGGATTAAAATTCCGACTATACATATTTTAGACCACCCTAATGTACATACATACATATGTTCGTATCTAACGTACTGTATTTTGTAGGTAGTGAGATGCAGCAAATGCATATTTAGTTTCATCATTTCTGGGGTTGTTTTCCACATACTATACATATAGCGTCCTCGTATTGTTTGCAAAGCAATGCGACAAGGATATGGATACATCTAATACGTTTGGGAACATATAGGTAACCAGGTGTTACTGAATTCGAAATTATACCCGAGCGCACTTGTGCACAAGGGTATTACAACTTTGTTCACAAAACGGTTGTTTGTAACAGCCTAAAGGAATCGAGATAGATATAACAAAGATATGCAAAAGTATACATAAATGCTCAGAATGAAAAGAGAAATCGATTGTGTCATGTCTTTCTGTCCGTCTGCCCATCATCTATCCACACGGATTCACAGTTCGTGTCCGGATACCTTTTGCTAAGACTGGTTTTCACTATGTCATATTTTGACACCAAAATTTTGCCACATATTTTGACACAACTTTATCTCCTTTATCCATACCTTTACTGATGATATTATGGGCCAAAAACTTACATAAAGCCGATTTCGCAGCGCATGTACACGACTAAAGACCTATCCTGATCCAAATCAATCGATAAACCGCTTTCTGATGCCATATGACAATGTGTTTTCACTTCTTCATTATCTGCCCTCAAAATCATATGTAGGTAACAATAGCATCAGCTGTTTGCTTCAAAATAAAATCAAATGGGCCGAACTGAACGTTGAACTGTACTTCACCACCCTCTCCGGCAAAAATGTTTTGAGAGCAAATAAAAAGTTGTCCGGACACGAACGGTGAACCCACCTTAGCTCGAGCAAAAATTTTAAATTTTTTCCCTCGTTTCGTATCATGCGTTGTTTGCGTTGCGCGTGCCGCAGTATCGTGGTGAAGCAAAAGCTCCCGTGGGAGCATGGGAAAAAATTAATAACTAGCGACTCCGTGCAAGATTTCGTTTTTTTTCTTTTAAATAATGTATTATAGAATAAAGACTGATATTCAATGTACAATATTAAAAACTCTGATCGAGGAGTAATAAATATTTTCATTTATTTAAAATATGTATTTGTTTATAAAGTTTAAATTTTTTTTCAAATAACGATTGTTTGAACAGTCAGGCTAAAGTGTGTCTACTTAACTCTTATCATGAAAAAGAATCAGCAAGATACATGCTATGAATCAGTGGAAATAAATAACTACTGAATTCATTTACAATAAAGTTAATAACAATAACTCTTGTAAAGCTTCGAATTTTTCGAAATTGATCAAATTGTATTTTTTTATATTGTTGTTAGCCGTCCAAATTTAGGTGGCCCACTTGAAAAATTTTCATTTTTTTTCTAGGAGCTGTTTCGGTTTCGTGGTTTGAGCTACTGATATTGTTTTAAGGAAAGCAAAAACAACTACCTTTTTGCTTTGCCTCCTACCCGTTTCGACGTATGAAGTCTGTAAACAGACCCTTGAAGAAGACGCGAAATACGTCGAAGCTGGTAGGAGGAAAATGGAAAGGTATTTTTTTTTGCTTTCACATAAAACGGCCGCAGCAGCTCAAACCGAGATTTCAATAGGAACTGGGTCCAATAATATACATATGTATGTATTTAAGAAACTAAGTTAGTTTTTCTTGGACGTCTTTTTATTTGAATTTTTCGTGTTTCTTGGGAACTGTACGCTATGCTTTAATTGCCCTGCAGGGAAAGCTACTAGTTGTGAACTAGAATTCTACCGGTTTGCGTTTCAGCCCAACTAGTTCACATTCTATCCTTTTTGAATGTTAGCGACTGGTATTTTTAACATTGCGATGTCCTACGAGATGTCAATTGTCAGGCTATGCATCAGCATCTACTAGTATAAATACTAGTAGCATCATACCAGTTGATGAGATAGTCTGCCAATTCATGCCCCGTGAAAACCATAAATGTGCCTTTTTGCTTGCGACGCTCCAGCAGTCACAATGGCCGGCAGAGCAAAGCACTCGCGTGGTAAGCCTGAGGTCACAGGTTCAAATCCTGGCGCAGGAAAAGTTTTTTATTTTCTATTTTTTTTTATTTTTATTTTTTATAAATTTATTTTTTGTTTAGGCTGTTTATTGTAATTTTTAAATTTAATAAAAAAAAATATTTTTGTTTAATTTCTTTGTTTTTATA